GAAGGCAAACGAGATCCAGGCAGAAGAAGAACATCGTGGCTTCAAAATCTAAGGCAGGGATTTTCAACCTTTTCACCCATTGTACCACTTTTAGAATATGGCAATATCCGAGTACCACCAGTCGCCTAGCAAGGTGTCAAAAACTTGATGACCAAAAAAAAGGGAAAAAAATGATAAACTACAGGTAGTCCTCGACTTACAACAGTTCGCTTAGTAACTGTTTGAACTTACAATGGCACTGAAAAAAGTGCCCCCCAAGCCACAGCTGAGCAAGACACCTGCTTGCCCGCCCGGCGGCGCTCTTCCTCCTGTCCGAGGTTTTCATTGTTGTGAGCATTTCTGTTGAGGATTGGCAGTGGAGGTGGGATGGGGGGGGTATTTGGTTTTTATTCCCCCCGTCTGCTGGGTGGTTGCAGCAGGTTTTGGTCACTTCACATGACCCTGGGACACTGTGACCGTCATAAATATGAATCAGTTGCCAAGCATCTGAATGTAAATCACAAGACCCTGGAGAGGCTGCAACATTCTAGCTGATCGGCGCTTCTTCTGGGCTCAGCAGAAGCACCAGGATCAGTGCTGCTTTCCAGCTGATCAGTGCTTCTTCAGGGCTCAGCAGAAGCACCAGGATCAGTGCCGAGCTCCAGCTGGAGCCTGTCGCTGATCCTGGCACTTCCACTGAGCCCTGACAGCCCTGCAGCTCCAGCCATCTCTCGCTCAGGCTTGTGCGGTGCTGCCACCGGTTCAGCTCATTCCCCTCCCCCGCTATCACTTTTCTAGGATGGTCGTATACCACCTGCCAGATGCCAATGTACCACAGGTGGTACCCGTACTACTGGTTGAAAAGCCCTGATCTAAGGGACTGGTTTGGACAAAACTCAGCAGCACTTTTTCATGCAGCTGCTGATAAAAACAGGATCGCCAACATGATCGCCAATGTCCGATAACGGATATGGCAGGAGGAGGAGGAGGAGGAGGAGAAGGAGGAGGAGGAAGAGGAGAAGAAGAAGAAGAAGAAGAAGAAGAAGAAGAAGAAGAAGAAGAAGAAGAAGAAGAAGAAGAAGAAGAAGAAGAAGAAGAAGAAGAAGAAGAAGAAGAAGAAGAAGAAGAAGAAGAAGAGGAAGAAGAAGAAGCAGCTTCCTTCTAACTCATTGTTTCCCAGCTTTAGCAACTTGAAGATGAGTGGATGGGGAATTCTGGGAGTTGAAGTCCACATATCTTCCAGTTGGGCAAACTCAGTTCTAACTTAAGGATGAGTGAAGAACACTTAGCCAAGGGGTGAGACAAGGATGACCAATTTCAAAAATAAATTCCACATATTATGGACCAGGACTTCATTGACAGACCAGGACCATCATCATCGCCACCAAAATAGGGAAGTTCAAATATCAGTGTATGGAAATTCTCAATCATCCAGGTCATGGTTGTCCCAAAGGTGATTTTCCAAAAAGGCAACTGGATTTTCTTGGCTTTTTTCTTGAAAACATTCTGAAAAAGCTTCTTGGATGAGAAGCAAAATGTTTTCAAGGAAAAAAGTAAGAGTCCTGTTGCCTTTTGAAGAAGCCCCTTTGGGAGAACTGTGACCTGGATGATTGAGAATCACCATAGACAGTTGTTAAGTAAAGTCATTAAGCTGAGTTCTATGGAGAGCCTCAGTCATCCAAGTCACGGGTGTCCCAAATGTTCTTTTCCAGAAAGCGTGGACTTTCTTGGTTTTTCCCTTGAAAACATTTCACTTCTCATCCAAGAAGCTTCTTCAGTTCTGAAGAAGTTTCTTGAATGGGAAGCAAAATGTTTTCAAGAAAAAAAAACCAAGAAAGTCCACTTGCCTTTTGGAATGGAATGGAATGGAATGGAATGGAATGGAATGGAATAGAATAGAATAGAATAGAATAGAATAGAATAGAATAGAATAGAATAGAATAGAATAGAATAGAATAGAACCTTGGAGGTCTTCTAGTCCAACTCCCTGCTCAGATGAGAAACCCTATACCATTTCAGACAAATGGCTATCTAATCTCTTCTTTAAAACTTCTAGTGTTGGAGCATTAACAACTCCTGGAGGCAGGTTGTTCCACTGATTAATTGTTCTAACTGTCAGGAAATTTCTCCTTAGTTCTAGGCTGCTTCTCTTCTTGATTAGTTTCCATCCGTTGCTTCTTGTCCTGCCCTCAGGCGCTTTGGAGAATAGCTTGACTCCCTCTTCTTTGTAGCAACCCCTGAGATACTGGAACACTGCTATCATGTCCCCCCTCGTCCTTCTCTTTGTTAAACTAGACACACCCAATTCCAGCAACCATTCCTTGTATGTTTTAGCCTCCAGTCTCCTAATCATCTTTGTTGCTCTTCTCTGTACTCTTTCTAGAGTCTCAACATCTTTTTTACATCGCGGTGACCAAAACTGGATGCCGGATTCAAAGGGTGGCCTTTCCAAGGCCTTGTAAAGTGGTATTAATACTTCACGTGATCCTGATTCTATCCCTCTGTTAATGCAGCCTAGCACTATGTTGGCCTCTTTGGCAGCTGCAACACACGGCCGACCCCTATTGTCCACTAGGACTCCGAGGTCCCTCTCACAGTTACTACTATTGAGCAAGGTATCACCTATATACTATACCTTGCCTAAATATAGAACCTTACATTTTAGAAAAGCACCTTTGGGTCAAATATCAACAGCAGAGACTAAAATGAAGAAGAGACAGTCCCTGAAGGACCTCTTTGCCATTAAAACTTTTCTCTCAGTTAGGTCAGCAAGGGTTACATTTCTTGGGCTGAAAATTAGGGGCAGCATCCTAATACACCAAAAAGAAGGGAGGGGAATCTGCTTCTTCAATTCCTTAAAAAAAATCCACATTTAACAGTCCACCTGCAGAGGGCACTTCAAGACCATGGTGAAAGAAAGAAGTCCAGCAACCGGTGGACCACTTGTTGCTATTATGGGATGCAGGAAAAAGCAAAGCCAGAAAAATCTCCGCATTGCTGAACATAAACAACGGCGCTAGGCTTTCATTTTTTTTAAAGTCTGTATTAACAATAGGAGGACTAAAACGCCGTCTGCTAGTGCAGACAAGAATTTTAGCACTTCACTTATGCTGGCTGGTGGCTGTGCCTGAAGATGGTTCCTTGAGTTATTTTTTCCAAGCCTTCTTGAAAAAGAAAAATGGAAAATATATTTACTTTTAAGAGTTTCAGACCACACTATAAAGTCAAATTAACTACAGGGAGCCTTCGACTTAACAACTGTTCATTGAGTGACCGTTCAGAGTTAAAACGGCACTGAAAAGAAGTGGCTTATGACCGTTTTTCACAACCGTTACAGCATCCCCCATAATCAAAATTCAGACGCTTGGCAACTGACTCACATTTACGACGGTTGCCATGTCCCCCAGGCTCATTTGATTCCCTTTTGCGATCTTCTGACAAGCAAAGTCAAGGGGGAGTCCGATTCACTTAATAACTGCTGTGAGTTGCTTAACAACTGCGCCAAGGTTGGTCATAAAATGAGGCAAAATTCACTTCACAATTGTCTCGCTTAGCAACAGCAGAAATTTTGGTCATTAAGTTGAGGACTACCTGCATTAGAAAACCTATGGAGTGCAGAAAGAAACCTGCCATAAATACTGGAACCAGGACGCAAAGGGAAAAACATCATTAAAAGATATAAATCTGTGAGTTTGAAGAAACCAATTCAAGAAATACACCGGTGTGAATCCCTCTCCATTATCACTGCTTTATATCAAAGAGCACCAGAACAGCTGCAGCTGGGGAATTCTGGGAATTGAAGTCCAGATGCCCTGCAGTTGCCACAGTTGTGAAACTGCACTGCAAGTAGTCCTTGACTTACGACAACAGTTGGGACCAGAATGTCCCCTGCTAAGCAAAGCGGTTGTTAAGTCAGACATGCCCGATGTTACGACCATTTTTGCAATGGCTGTTAAAGGAATTGCTCAATTTGGTAAATCATGTGGCCGTTAGGCAACTCTGACTTCCTCCATTGACTTTGCCTGTCAGAACGTGGTTGGGAAGATCGTCAACGGCGATCGCGTGACCCTGGGACACGACAACCCTTGTAAATACATGCCAGTTGCCAGTCACCTGGAGTTTGATCACGTGACTGTGGGGGATGCTGTGACAGTTGCTAGCTCCAAAGCACCAGAGGGCAAGACAAGCAACAATGGTTGGAAACTGATCAAAGAGAGAAGCAACCTGGAATTAAGGAGAAACTTCCTGACGGTGAGGACAATTAACCAGTGGAACAGCTTGCCACCAGAAGTTCTGGTTGCTCCATCCCTGGAGGTTTGTAAGAAGAGGCTAGACAGTCACTTTTCTGAGATGGTACAGGTTCTCCTGCTTGAGCAGGGGGCTGGACTAGAAGACCTCCAAGGTCCCTTCCAGTTCTATTCTATTCTATTCTATTCTATTCTATTCTATTCTATTCTATTCTATTCTAATCAAAGAAAGACCCAATCTAGAACTAAGAAGACATGTCCTAACAGAACAATTAATCCGTGGAATGGCTTCCCTTCAGACGTTGTGGGTGCTCCATCACTGGAGATTTTTAAGAAGAGTTTAGACAGTCACTTGTCTGAGTTGGTATAGGTTCTCCTGCTTGAGCAGGGGGGCTGGACTAGAAGACCTCCAAGGTCCCTTCCAGCTCTATTCTATTCATTTCCAGTGCCGTTGTAATTTTCACTCACTAAACAAATGGTTGTAAACTGAAGGCTGCCTCTAGAGCAGTGGTTCTCAACCTGTGGGTCGGGACCCCATTTGGGGTCAAACGACCATTTCACGGGGGTCACCAAACCACACAGTCCGCCATTTTTCCCCCTTTTCCCTAGCTGTCCTACTCCCTCTTATTGGTGGCCACACCCACTTGGGGGTCACCACAACATGGGGAACTGTATTATGGGGTCACGGCATTAGAAAGGTTGAGAACCACTGCTCTAGAGCTTCATTGAACAGTTAGTAGTTAGAAGTGATCATCAGACCGAACAGGATCTTACCTTTCCATTGTTTAACTCATTGAAGGAGACAATTGTACATAAGCTCATCTGGATAGGGTAATAAACATTCCCACACTTAAAAGGTTCGGATTCTCGGGATTTCCACGGCTGCCGTAGCAGAAAGGTGCTCCCATTCGCTCTAAGAGAGGAACGTTCTGGATCTAGGACCTGCTGACTATGGCATGAGCAGGCTAGGGGGGTGCAGGGGTTGCGAACATCCTCCAAAATACTTCCTAAACTCCGAGTTTCTGCAGAGGGACCTGCTGAAACACCAACACTTGGCAGAGTCCTTGAACACCCCGGATTATCTCCTTGCACATTGGCAAAGTGATGGTCTTCTCCTAGAGCCCTCTTGGGCATCTGGTTATCTATTAATCCCTCCCCCAAATCTGGAGTGTCTGCTACACTTGTGAAGGCATTAAAATCCTCGGCAGAAGTGCACACAACTTTGATGTCCATTTCACTGTCACACCATTCCTCACAGTTCAAAGAAGAATCCTTTTCCAGGCCTGCAATGTCCATCTCGGCCTTTGTCAGATCTTGAGACTTTAACTCCTCTGTATCCAAGCTCTGGGAATCTGCTGAAACCGCAACGGAGTACCGGGTAGCCTCCTGCTCCCAAGGAGGCAAAATCCAGGGATCTCCTGGAGCAGAACCTGGGCCCTCCTCACTTAATTTGTTAGGAGGGATCTTCTGGGTCTGTAGCAGTTCCGTATCTAAGCCATGTCCATTGAGAACCAGGCAATTACTTGGACATTCTGAGTGGGGAATACTTTTCCAAGGAGGTGGACAAGGTTTTTCATTGCTAGGATCCTTCAAGACTTCATGAGACATCTCAGCATTGGTATCTCCTTGGGCTGGAGCTTGACCAGCTGAGGTTTTGGAACTAGGGCGATCCCACATCTCAGAATCGGGTGACAGTCCAGTTAATGAGAAACTATTAACATTATCATTGACAATGATCAAAGGCTGCCTTCGATGAGATCGTTCCAGCCTTTGCCGTGCACAGTTGGAGATTTGCTGTGGTTCTTCCTGAGAAAATGTCTTGGAAGATCCCCGCCATTTCCTAGCCACCCCAGCCACGCTGTTAAAAAACCTAAGGACACCACCAAAATGACTTCCCTTTCCTCCATGGCCAGGCTTTTTAGGCTGGCCAACGCTGCCTTTGCATCCTGCCGCAAAAGCAAGATAAGAAGGAGGACTTTCCATTGCATTTTTCCAACTCTGAAGATCAGGTTCTGCAGTAGGGTTCTCCAACTTGGAACAGTCCTTGCCTGTCAATGAAACCCCTTTTAGATATCCCCAGACCTCAGAACTTCTTCCTTTCTTAGTCTCAGGAGCTACCGGAGCATCTCTTGTTTGAAAATGTCCTTCAGCATCCCTAGACTCTGGAGTTTTTTCAGACTCGAGGGCCACATTTTTCTGAGCCAACATGTTATAACAATAATCATCAGCATTGCTACTACTGACTCCCAGTTCCACCCCCCTGTGCCATTTGCTCTCACTGGGTTCAATATCCAGCATGCAGCTATTTAGTTCAATATCCTCAAATGAAGAATCCAAGTCCTCAATGAAGCCAGCATAGGAGTGACGGTAAGGCCGTTGGCCGTCACTGAGCTTCCTAATCCTATGGAGCGCTTTTTGTTCAAGATCTTCTTGAGTTTCCACTGAGATGATGATGGCCTTTGCTTTGGATGTATTTCTGGATAGACCAGAAGATCGTAGCTTCTTATAGGATCTTACCCTTTCCATGAAAGACATCTTACGATTCTGCTCCGTGACCTCCACGTGATCTCCAAGGAATATCATGGATTGGGGCCGTTTGGGATTCATGGAGGGTCCTTTCTTGCGGCCAACAAAATTCCAAATCCAACTGGCCCTGGCCTTCTTCTTATTCTTGCCCATATCCTCTTGGCCAGGATCACCGGGGGCACTTGGATTGGGACACTTCTGTGCGGTGCATGTTTCCTTTCGGTTGGCTTGAAAAGTCTTGGTTCCATATCCATTTGGAACTGGGGTAGAGCAATCATGTTGGCAATGATCAATAAGTTCCATACTTCTGATGGTAACACCCAGGTCCAAATGTCAGGCCTCCATGGTCACAAAATGTGCCTCGTTTGCAGAATCTGAGAAGGAAACAGAAAAAAATCCAGTTAAGATTTTTAACCTCGAAATATAATATATATAATATATATAACATAATATATATAAAAAAAACAAAAGTTCCATGTCCGAAAATAAAGTCTAATGGCTGTGAAAGTTGGACCATAAGAAAAGCTGAGCGCCAAAGAATGGAGGCCTTTGAACTATGGTGCTGGAGAAGACTCCTGCGAGTCCCTTGGACTGCAAGGCAATCAAACCGGTCAGTCCTGCAGATCAACCCTGACTGCTCTCTAGAAGGCCAGATCCTGAAGTTGAAACTCAAGTACTTTGGCCACTTAATGAGAAGGAAGGACTCCCTGAAGAAGAGCCTCATGCTGGGAAAGATGGAGGGCAATAGAAGAAGGGGACGACAGAGAAGGAGGGGGCTGGACGGAGTCACTGAAGCAGCAGGCGTGAGCTTCAATGGACTCCAGAAGATGGTAGAGGACAGGAAGACCTGGAGGAACGTTGTCCATGGGGTCACGATGGGTCGGACACGACTTTGCAACTAACAACAACAACAAAGCTGACTCCTTACTTCACCAACAGCCAATTGGATTCGTGAACCAAAATTCATGCGATCCTGAGCAAACACATCACCCCCATTACTTCCTTCCTGAATTAATATTTCCAGATACTGGCTTAAGGAATCAGGACATTCTTCCATCCATCTAAACAAGCAGAATTCGATGGAAAGAAAAAAGAACCAGTCTGATGCATCTTATATCAGGCAGAGAAAGTCATGATTTTTGATATCACTATATTACACTAAGGGCTACACTTTTCCTTAGCAGATAGCAGCTGCTAAATCTAAAGCTCAGAGTTCTCATTTCCGGCACAAATGATCTGGCTCAAATTACCATAATTTTTGATACATTATGCAAAGACTACGCTCTCTGGAGAAGGCTCTAAGGCTAGGAGAGTTGGAATGAAAAAAGGACAACCAACAGCAAGTTGGAAGGACTCATTACAGCTGGACTAGAAGCACCACTGGAAGATCTGAAGAACCAGACTGATTGGTTAAAAGGGACAGTTGTTATGGAGAAAGTCCATCTATAGCAGGGGTAGGCAACCTTGGCTCTTTTATGACTTGTGGACTTCAACTCCCAGAACTCCTGAGCCAGCCATGCTGAGGGGAAAGGGAGAGGTTTCCAAGCTGAGCCATGCTGGCTCAGGAATTCTGGGAGTTGAAATCCACAAGTCATAAAAGAGCCAAGGTTGCCTACCCCTGATCTATACAGAATTACTGAAAACTGGCACCGATTTAATGGTACTCATAATCAATCAATCAATCATATGGAGGAAGAAGAAATAAATATCTTCTGCTACTTCCAAGCTCTGAAATAGTCAGCTGACTAACAGCTCTATTTCCTTCATTTTGGGGGGCACTGTCTTGTCCCTTCAACCTTAAACTACTCAATGTGTGCCAGACTAGCTGAGTTGGTCTTGGAGGTTTCATTCCCTAATTTGTCCAAAGCTAATGTGCGCCTATATATTATTTTAAATCAGGGCATCTACTGGGCAAAAGCTGAGAATAATATACTTTTACCTCAAGGTTAATCACTGATCCAAATCAAAACATAATAGAACAAAACAGAATATGGATAAAAATGTCACCGAGATGCATAAAAAATTTAAAAAATAATAATAATCAAGAATGCAATATTTCATGGCCTGTTTTCACACAGCCACAGTACCCCTAATACAGGTAGTCCTCGACTCACAACCCCAACTGAGCCCAAAATTTCTGTTATTAAGTGAAATATTTGTTAAGTGAATTCTGCCCCCTTTTACGACCTTTCTTGCCACAGTTGTTAAGTGAATCACTCCAGTTAATAAGTTAGTAGCACGGTTGTTAAGTGAATCTGGCTTCCCCCATTGCCTTTGTTTGTCAGAAGGTCTCAAAAAAGTGCTCACATGACTTTGGAAGTGAAGCTTCTATCCCTCATTATTTATCTGGCCCCCTTGAACTGATAAAGCTCTACTGTGAAAAAGATCTTCCTGAAGCCGCATGGCCCAGACATCTGCTTCCTCCTTTTTTATTTTTCTACTTTTGGGTGACAATGTAGAGCAGTGGAAATGAGGCTTGGAGAGGGGGGGGGATGCTTTCTTTTCTTTTCTCTCAAGGGGATGTTTGAGGCTCTCCGTTTAAAGAATGTCTGGGTTTCTCTCAAAGGTTGCCAGTTGTTTGTTCCTCCTTCCTCCCCTCCCTCTCGCCTTCCTGGAGGGGGAACGGATATGAAGGCATTGAAACTCAGGCAGAATTTCCTTGACTGACTGGGGGGGGGGGGCCTTTGGGAAAACAAGCTTTCCCCTAGTTCGGTCTTGAGCTTTTACTCCCTCGGCAAAACAATGGTCCAGATGGCCAGCCTGTCCTTTTCCTGCTCCGCAGCAGAAGAGACAGATGGGAGCAGTTGTTTCAGGAATGCCATTTCATGTTCTCTGAGTCCTGGAAGACAATGAGTGTGTCCTGCAGCACGGCCAGCTAAATCTGGGGTTAACTCTGGGCAAGATCACCAGCGCTGTGGCAGATGATATGGGAAGCTGCAGCCAACAAGGTTGACGCGTCAACCCTTCCTATGGGTTGATGCTTCAACCATCTTTGCAGTGGCTGATGGCTCCTATTTTCTTTGGGGGGGAGTTCCCCCCGTTCGTTCAAAAGAGCCAGTGGTCAAGGCACCAGCCTAAAACCCAAGAGACTGTGAGTTTAGTCCCACCTTAGACATCCAGAGCCTTTTAGGATTCTCCAAAATTGGCGTTGAGAATCGCCTCAATCTCCTGATTTACACAATTTCACAATGGGCAAAGTCAATCACACCAGGCATCTCGGCCATTAAGGCAGCTTGAAATAGTTACTACAGGCAACAGCAGAGGCTGGGAGGTAGACATTCTACATGATGCATCCCACCCAAGACCTCTTCATAAGCCCACCAAATGGAAGTGAAGAATGACAGCTAAGCCTGTCAACCGAAGAAGAGAAGGCAACTCAACTCAATTCGTAGTGACTCTAATGCAGTGGTGGCGAACCTATGGCACAGGTGCCAGAGGCGGCACGCAGAGCCCTCTCTGTGAGCACTCACGCCGTCGCCCCAGTCCTAGGCCTTCAGCTGGGACTTATAAAACCTTTTCGCTTTAGGCCTCCGCTGCCATGTGCAAAAAAAAAAAAAAAAAGGTTCAATCAATCAGCCAATTTCAACTTCTCGTGGGAAAAAAAAAGATTTTGCAAAGTTGGAATTGATTGATTGAACTTTTTAGTCCCACCCAGTCTGCCGGTACCACTGGAGCCACGCCCACCCAATGGGCCACACCCACCCGGCACCCAACAATGCATAAATGGGTTTTGGGCTGCAGTTTGGGCACTCGGTCTCTAAAAAGTTCACCATCACTGCTCTAATACAACCTTCTTTATTTATGTGCACCTTTGAGTTGTAAGTAACAATTCCCAGACTTCTCCAATCAGTAGGGTCATCACTGAGGATTTTGGAAGTTGAGGCCCTCACTTCTCAAAAAAGGTGTTTCAAGAAATACTAGCAGGATGAAGAAAAAGTTAGCAAAACACTAGCCAGCTTCAGTAAATAATGCAACGGAGGTCGGTTGTTTTCTTGCCGACATTTCATTATGCAAACTAGAGTAGCATCATCAGTGCTAGAAAGAAAAGAACTGGCAACTCTCCTGATGTGGAAGGAAACTATTTATATTCTTTAATAAATGTGGCAACCTGCAGGTATAAGCAAAATAAATATAATGATCAGCTCAGAACAAAAGAGGTCTTGAAAACTACCACATCAGGCTGACTGGGATTTGGGGACAGGTTAAATATACAGCAGGCTTAACATCTGCTAAAGAGATTCTCTAGGATCCCAGCAGGCTCAATTAGATGTTCCAACATCAAATCCGGGAAGGAAACAAACTATTGCTTTAGGGAAAGGCTCAGGAACCGATGCCAAATGTTTTACACCAAGGTTGGAAAAAAAATATTCAGGAGGGCACGTTTCTTCATCGGCAAAATAAGACGAGGTGGGCGAGGCGATCAAACAGCTGGATACAGACCCCACTTAGCTCAAAGGTGGTCAGAAGTGAGACCTTTTTGATAATCTTGGTGGGACCCAGAAGTGGCTATTTTAATAGTCCTGAACCACCAGACAGTGATTTTGAGAACAAGAAGAAAGTTCTCACAAAGCAGGAGACTGAGCTTGGTAGCCCTTGGTTTGCAGAAGAGAAGAGGGATAACACTGATCTTTAAAGTTAAGAGATGCTAATCTTGCAGCCGTGTCTTTGAACATTCCCAGTATCCAAAGCTTTGGAAGGTGTCTTCTCCTTTTAAAACAAAGGTGGAACAACACACTGGTACAACCTGATCCAAGACAAAAGGTGAATGACTAATGAATCCCTTCAAATGTAAGCTTTGATATGATTCATGCCTGGTTTTTCTTTACTGCATTTATACCCTGGCTCTCTCCTCTCCTCCTCTTTTTTTTTCTTTCTTTCTCTTTTTTTCTTTTCTTTTTTTTTTTTTTTAGAAATCAAGACAGCCCAAAGGGAGGATCTTTCTTTAATTCCCCCCCCCCCCCATAATCATCTTGTGACAGAGGCTAAGCAAAAGATGGGCTGGGGCAACAGCACTCCGTGAGTCCCACGAATCTGGACCTGCCTGAAAAAAGTCCAACACAATTCCAAAGTATTATTTTTCTGCACATTAACCAAGCTGGAAGGAATAAATGTTGGCTTTCTATTGGGGGTCTTAGCGTTAAATTTCCGAGAAAGATTTTGCTTGACATCAACTTTCACAGCAGGTTTGGAATTCCTTGCTGGCACGAAAGAACTTGAAGGAAGGGATTTCCAGTGGGGAAATTTAAGTGAGGAAATAAGACCGGGGTGCATTTGGATGTTGGAGGCTGAGCTCACAGTCAGCTCAATCGTAAAGTAATTATCTTTCTTCGGGCTTTTGATGACTTCGGATGTAGTTTAGATTTGGCTTGTCAGA